ATACGTGATTGGATTATACGTTTTCTAAAACTATATATATATATATATAAAGATTTAAAAAGCGTTTCCTAATTCTTGACATTACCGTGAAACATCGTTCATTTACAACTTCAATTCTGATACGCAGTAGGCTCAAACATAATTAATCCAAATATCGTTAATATTTTAAGTACAAGTGAAACGTTATTGAACAGAATTTTAGGTAAATAATTCTTTTCAGTTAACTATTGTGATATGTCCCCCAGTGGGTCAGCAGTAAGTTTATGGACTTACAGTGTTAAAATTCGGAGTTCAGTTACCTGCGGTGGACAGAGTGCAGATAGCCCATTATGTAGCTTTGTACTTAAAAACAACATGAAAGTGATGTTCTGTAGACTTACTGAAAATCAATAACAATTTATATGATTAAATTACCTCTTCTCCTTGAAACTTTTACAATTTAAATAACTGGATATAGACTTAGGCCTTCTCTTAACAGTCGGTTGTTTTGTCTTTATTTATTCCAAATAGTTCTTAGAGTGATTCCAGTTTTTATTAAATACGTAACCAGAAATTAATACATCTTTTACTGGTAATACTTCATGTATAGTCCCCCAGTAAAACAGCGATAAGTTTACGGATTTGCAATTCTAGCATGTGGGGTTCGATTTTCCACGGTGGACACAGCAGATAGTTCAATGTGGCTTTGCTATAAAACAAACAAGCATTGTGTATAACATACACAAGAGTGACATCTCTACATTTTGTTCGTTTTATTGTTTAGTGAAATCTAATTCTTAAAAGATAATTGAAACATAATTTCTTTTGTGAGCATCAGAAAAGTGTGTATGCATACTTTAAGTTTTTCATTAGGAATAACAAGATGTTCACGTGTTTCATTTTTTTAATGTAGTTCGCACAGTACTTGTAAGAGTTAAATCAATACTCAAATGAAACAGATTCATCGATGGGACTTGAAGTTTAATGATGGACAACAGGATGACGGCTACAACAACGAACATTTGACATGTGTATATTCAGTAACAAACATTTAATTCTTAAAAGTTTCGGAATATACATATTCCATCTTCAGCAAGATATATTGAACATAGTAAATTATTAGGTACAAAAATTTATAAAGTTTAAAAATTTTATAAAAAGTAATTAAAATAGGGAATAAAAGGACGAAGTAAATGTAAAAAAACAAATAAACAAGAAAGAATAGGATAATGCAGCAATTATAACAATATTATACAAGTTACTCAGAACAAACTTAACTGTAGTGAAACTGTGTTATTATTTAAAGTTGGGAGTTCATTTATAATGCCCCCCCAGTGGCACACCGGTATGTCTGCGGACTTACAACGCTAGAAACCGGGTTTCGATACCCGTGGTGGGCAGAGTTCAAATAGTCCTTGTGTAGCTTTGTGCATAATTAAAAACAAACAATCATTTATAATAGATAAACTTAATTTAATTAAAAGTTCAATGTTGCATAATACTGATGAGATGACTTTGACATTCATAATCAAGATGGGGTGGTTAGTGTTTTCACTATGTGTGCGAATTGTGGAGTCTGGTGGATTTGATAGTTTTTTACCAGTTCTGCTAGATACTTCCATATGTTCGTAGGTGTAATTGGCGTATGGTTTTTTACCAGTTCTGCTGGATACTTCCATATGTTCGTAGGTGTAATTGGCGTGTGGTTTTTTACCAGTTCTGCTTGATACTTCCATATGTTCGTAGGTGTAATTGGCGTATGGTTTTTTACCAGTTCTGCTAGATACTTCCATATGTTCGTAGGTGTAATTGGCGTATGGTTTTTTACCAGTTCTGCTAGATACTTCCATATGTTCGTAGGTGTAATTGGCGTATGGTTTTGCCAACGTATATGACATAACATTTTATCCACAAGTTCAACTACAAATGATATTTAAATCACCTTTCAAAATACAAACTCTATTCATATCTAAAGATCTATTACCTACCCCTATGCGTTCCAGGGTCATATATAAATACACATGTGGTGGCTGTAATGCCATTTACATTGGCAAAACCATACGCCAAAGTCACCTCATCAGTATCATCCAGTATTGAACTTTTAATTAAAGAAAGTTTATCTTTTATAAATGAACACATTATCCTGTTCTTTATTGTTTATTTGGTCGGCTTTCAATTTACTTAGTCCTTTTATTTTGTACTTTAATTATTTTTTTAAAAATATTTAAACTTCATATACCTAATAATTTACCATGTTCAATACAACTTGCTGAAGATGGAATGTGTCTATTCCGAAACGTTCAATAATTAAATGTTTGTTACTGAACATACACGTGTCAAATGTTCGTTGTTGCTACCGTTCCTCTACTGTTCATCAAATAAAACAACATGAAGGAAGTAAGGTTAAAAAAAAAAGTTTAGATTTAAAATAGCATGTAAGTATGTCTCTCTAGTGTATATTTAATCTCTTATATAGTTAATAGGTCGCCTATTACAAAGACGTCTTGGGAGTTTTGTAAATTTAATTTATTTTCAAAGTTCATAAGTACGCAATTTATAATAAGGAATTTACTTGGTACATTAACAGTAGCTAAATTGTACTACGTACTATAGAAGGACAAACTTTTCAGCTGTGTGCACTACTATAAATGTTTGGGTGCCTGCCAGTCTGAACTCCTGTTGATCGCTACTAAAATGTTTCAGAATATGCCTTTTTTTTCTTACTTAACTATTTATTCACAGAAAGTCGTACAAGATACCTGTATTACATAAGAAAAACAGTAGAAGTTGCTGACTATTGTTACAAGAGTGTAGAAAGAGGCGGGGAAACTTGGCACTGTTTTTAGTCTATTTAAACGTGATGTTTTAGAATGATATAACCAGTCTAAATAATACGGATTAAATTTGATACAAAATATTTGCACAAAGACTGTAATCGAAGTCAGTTTGTTCTCGTAAATAAAGTAAACCGATTTCAAGACGGTGTGACGTACCCACAGAACTCCTAATCCATTCTCACTATTTCCTATTTTCGTTTAAGCACACATGGACTATCTGCGCTGTGTCCACCACGGGGATCGAACCCGAATTTTTGTGTTATAAGCAATCGAGATTACCACTGAGCCATTAGGAACAATTCATTTTAAAAAGTCTACTTAGTTAAATCATGTATTGTGTATTTGTAGAGCACCTGTTCATATAACGTTTCGTACTTTAGATTGAAGTTAATGCTCTATCTATTTATATGTATCCACATATATATTGAGTTGTCAGAGTAATTAGTACTATAGAACTCAAGTAGATATCAAGCATCAATACTGGTAAATATTCAGTACAGAGGCACGTGTAGCTAAAAGTAAGTGTTAATGTGTTAACACTTATTTCGGGACTTTATAATATATAGTATAAACACGTGTAGTTCATTTTATAGACGTATATATAAAACTTTTTTTTATTTCTTTGTTTTAAATGGTTGGATTTTCCAATCGCTTCACATAATAATAGACATTCTTCACAGATTAATTCAACAGAATATTTTTTGAGGTGCTATGAGATGAGCCACGTGTCATGCTGAAGAAAACTTTTTATATTCAGAAACTGTGATATTTGGTTCAACGAACCACATTTCACTTACTTAGAACCCTGGATGGCGAAATATAACAAAAAAATGCCATGACAAAACGAAGCTTTTACAATGTTAACAACTTTTCCATCAGCGACGAAACGCATTAAGGTTGAGAGTTAATAATATGAAACTAATTACTGCATGTTGCGATAACACCAAGCCATATTATTAATGTTTATCTATTGCTCAGTTCAGTAACGTAATATGATTAGTCAATGTAGACTTTACGAAACATTAATCTTTCGAAAGAATTTTCTCTAACCATAATACTGGCCGTGAGAACATAATCCTTTCAACCACATCCTGTTAGCATATCCTTCTTCTATCAAATGAACAAGTACGTTCTTGCACGAGAACCAGCTACACAATGACGTCAATGCAAAGTATAACAAAAGGCCTATCATCTAGAGAACATCAAGTTATTGGTTAGGTTTGGATTGAATTTCGTGCAAAGCTACTCGAGGGTTATCTGCGCTAAGCGTCCCTAATTTAGCAGTGACAGACTAGAGGTCAAGCAGCTAGTCAACACCACCCACCGCCAACTCTTCGGCTATTCTTTTAACAACGAATAACAAGATTCACCATCACATTATAACGCCCCCATGGCTGAAAGAGCAAGTATGTTCCATCAAGTTCTGCCAGAAAGATATCACAGTAACTATGTAAATTGTTAACACCTTTTTATCTATTTATATCGGTAGCTGTTAATGTGTATATGATGATAGTTAAATGGTCGAAATGGAATAAATTAACAACTAAAATGCCAAGTACTGTAACATTTATAAGTTTTATACAGATGTGATATGACAGAAAGAAAAACTATTTTATTGTTTACTTTAACAATGATATGCTTTCTATATATTGGTTTGCACTAAATAAAAACTGAAATGCTAATTGCTGTAATAATGAAAAGTTTCATATTCAGGAAAATTGTAAAAATTTAAACGTTTTAAAGTTAATTGAAATAATATGTTTTTTTTTAAATTTAATATGTTAAATTTTAAACATATTAAATTTTTAATATGTTTATTTTTTTAGGAAAAGATCAAGACTACAACAGGAAATTAAAGAATATTTGTTTATTATACAGAAGTATTAACCCGTTACTAACCGTCATACAACAGTCTCCTGTACTGATACAGTTTTGATTGGATTGCTAGTAATGTGACGTCATATTGTGTTTATTTAGTTGTAAAACACGATTCCGTAACATATATAAGTTTTGCGAGATGTTCACCTTATACAATTTTTATAAACTTTTTTTTCGTAAACGTGAGCCTGTAGTAAAGCTAAGAAAATAATTTACTGACAGGTGTCGATATTCAGTGATGTACACTGAGAAAGGGGCTGAGGGGTTCCAGCCTCTGCCCTTCTGCTCTTATTCCCTAAAAGTCACCTTTTTTTTCAGTTTCAAAATCGTCCGTAACTACTAAAATACACGCCTCATTTCATACCTTCCTTGGTGCGAGTTATCACGAAAAAATTGTTTCACCTTTAAATCGTATGGCAACAAAGACTTGTAGGTGTTTACAGTAAAAAAATAATAATCATTTTGATATGCTATTTCGTGTTAATACGCAAAAACGCATTGTTTAGTATTATAGTTTAAAAGCGTTTATATGTCCGATTGAAAAGAAATACAAAATAATTTGTTTTTTCTCATAGCTTTCTACGCTATGTGTACCAAAGGCAATCCACGGTCCCCATAGTTTCTACAACCTGCTTCCAAAATAAAATGGTTTTACCTTACGTTACTTGAAAGGCGCCATTTTTTCCAGTGATCTTCTTTCCCTTTACTGCCTTCCGCACATTACTTTTGATACTCTGTTTTATGACTAAAACATTGTCTTACCGCACAGAATCTTCATGGGTGTTCTATAACTATACACATGTGAAAAGTATCTAAGTACTTGTCGATTAATAGTAAGCAAAGAAGCATTGTTCAGCTTTCTGTTGTACAACAAGTGTTTGAATGACTTAGAGCTTGTGTATAAGCCTAACTTTTTGTTTTTGCGCAGAAAAATACATTTCTTTGTTAACGGTACACGTCGTTATTATACGTATTTTTTATTTCTCCAATGAGTACCATTTCACTGCCTGTGTTTACAAATACGCTGAAATAACAACTTTCGTTTCGATAATTGCGTTTTTTTTTTGTTTTGTTTTTTCAGACGTTAAATCCTTAAAACAAGTATATTCAGAAAAACATACAGTAGTAGTTATAATCCCATGGTTTTTGTTTGGCTTTCGCAAAATCCATGAATATATTGTATTATGAAGCCTTGGACTGAAACACTGGTGTACAAATCAGCTAACACCGGATCATAGTCACTGAGCTTTTCCTTCCCAAGTGCTCAATCAAGTCAAGATCTAGGTTGTCTAAATTGGTCATCAGTCATGAATCCTTAGACTGAAACACTGGTGTACAAATCAGGTATCACCAGATCATATTCACTGAACTGTTCCTTCCCCAAATGCTCAATAAAGTCAAGTTCTAGGCAGTCTAAATTGGTCATCAGGTATTGCACTGCCTGTTCCTCCTGAGTCTTCACCAGCTGTCCCTTTGAGTGATAATGATGCTATCCGCTTCACTTTGCCACAATTAACCTGTAGTAGACGATACAGATAACCTCCAGGGGTGTTTCAGCCAATACACCAGAGGTGCCAGTTCAGATTGGTGCCCACAGACCTCAATGCTCTTTTAAGTTCACGTTCCTTGTTCTCAGTTGACAGAGTGATACATAGCCGTAGTAAACACGTTATTGTCGTATTCCGCACAGCCTCAAGCTTTCTTGCAAACCATAGTATTTTCAGCAGTCCAATTATCCTCTCAGGAAAATGCTCAATTAACCATGTTGGTCTATCACCACTATTTCAAAGAGTCATCTCTATAGTTTTTTATCTGACCATACGTCCATGGAAACAAATTGCAGTCTGGGACTGCCCTAGTGATGAAGGAAGCTTTTGCTGGCCACAGGCGACCATGACCAGTTCAACTTTTGATAACTGAAAACACAGAAGCCCAGAAGACACCTTTCCACATATTAACCATTTGTCATCTGTGCTTTCTGCTTGTTGGAATTCAATGGGGGAACAGTTTCAGTAGCTAGCTGCATTCGTGGACCCCAACCTCTCTTTAAGAACAAATTCCTCTTCTCGTCCTTAAGACCTTTGTTTATTTGTTTGTTTGAAGTTAAGCACAAAGCTACGCAATGGGCTATCTGTGCTCTGTTGATATAATTACTTTCTTTTTAAATTCGATACGTTAAGTGAAACTCGATTAATCTAAACCACGAGTGTATCATGACATCATTTTCTCCCCCGAGATATGCTTCCCTTGATATTAACAAAGTGTTCATCATACGTTAATTGACTTTGTGTGTTTTTGAATTTGCCTGTACGCGAGCTTCTACCACACTCTTGGAGCTAGCAAGACCAAACTTGGCAAGCGGTTTGTTTGTTTGTCTGTAATTAAGCACAAAGCTACACAATGGGCTGTTGGTGCTCTGCCCACCACGGGTATCGAAACCCGGTTTCTAGCGTTGCAAGTCCGTAGACATACCGCTGTGCCACTAGTGAGCTAAGACCTTTGTTTGAAAAGTTTTTAAAATTCAAGTCTAGGTGCAATGATAGCACAAGGAAAGGAAAAGAAAAGCACAAGTCAAAATTCAAAAACTATACGGCTCGGCATGGCCAGGTGGTTAGGGCTTGACTCGCATTCTGAGGGTCGCGGGTTCGAATCCCCGTCCCACCAAACATGCTCACCCTTTCAGCCGTGAGGGCATAATAATGTGACGGTCAATCCCACTATTCGTTGGTAAAAGAGTAGCCCAAGCGTTGGCGATATGTGGTGATGACCTTCCTTCTAGTCTTACACTGCTAAATTATGGACGGCTAACGCAGACAGCCCTCGTGTAGCTTTGCGCAAAATTCAAAACAAACAATCCAACAAAAAAATAAATTTATATTAAGTATTTTAACAAGAGATTTAGCAGAAAATTCATTGTTTGTTATTGAGTTTGACTTCCAAGTTTTACCTCCAACTGAAACTAAACAAAAACATATACTGGACAACAAAGTTTTACCAAGAACAAAAACACCTCATTTGACAAAAACAGAACAGGTTCAGCTAACAAAACATATATACAAGATGTTAAACAGTCGCCCTCTGTTCAAACTTTGAGAACTAAGACAGTGAACCTGTCTAACTTACTACATAAATAACTTGTATCAACGGATTATCTTAGAGTGCAGTGACATCCATGTCATCTCTTTTCTTCCGTTTAGATTAATACAAAAGACATATTCTTTAATAACTATACAACGTCACGTGGCTGTTGTAGCCATAAAAGTCTAAAACTCACAAAGTCTAAAGAGATTTTCCAGTAATACCATCCACGAGTAGAATAATCTTTGTCAACTCTGTTCACTTTATAAGAAAATGTGTGTGACAACGTGACAGCTTCTGTAAGAGTAAACATTTTATAATGTCATGAACAATTTATTTTTTGCCAATCTAAGCTAAAAGAGCAAAAAAAAACACAGTGTATGTTTCTAATTGCTACAAATATTTCATGTAGATAACCGTAGTAGGGAAAGGTTTTGTGGTTTATAAAGGTAATCGTACTAATGCAAAATTCATATAGCCGAATGTACTCATGAAGAAATCAGTAGCCTATGATGCACATTCCATATGACTTGACTTTGGTAAGGGAGAATTGTGTATACAACTTATGCAATGTTTCTGACATATTCACACTGATAACTGAAATAAAGCATTTAGCATAGTTGACTGTGATAATACTGCGGTGTTCCGTTAAAATCTATGACCCAAAAACGAATAGTTTTATGTGTGTGTGTGTATATACATGCAATAATAGCTCTAATTATGGAAACACACAACTATTACACATACAGCAGTCATGAATAACAAGTAACTGCGACTAGATGGTGAATTTATTAATGGTACAAAACGATATCACAGACATTATTGAAACATGAACAAGTTGTATGATGCAATAGTATTTTTTATGTGTATTCTTTGCCTTTCGCAGACCATTACACAATACTTTCATACTGTCATTCCTCTTTTGTTGTTGCACACAAAGATACTCCATAGGTGATCTGTGCTGTGCTCACCACAGGTATCGAACCCCGATGTTTAACTAAGCTATTGAAAGGTCCATACTATCATACAGCTTATCAATCTATGATAATGGAATGTCGTTCCAAATGTCCTGTTTGGTCCCCATAATTTAGCCGTGTTTGGTCATTTCTTGACCTTCGCAGTTTTTATATAAGCCCATACAGTATCATTAATATTCACAATGAAACTCTGTGCAGACCAAAACAATGTAGGAGTATTCTGCTGGTCTCTTTACCATAAAGATATCATTTCACCACATTTACTGTATGTGTGGAATTATTGCCTTGCTGGAAGATGAATCCCCGTCTGATAAGTCGTGTGCCCGAAGAAACAGCGTGATGGATGATAATCTGCCTACACTTGTTGCATGTCAGGGTACTCTCATCTCTGTATAGATAATCGACATTTCACGATAATATTGTCGAACAAATTGCGATTAATTGTTGCCAAATAGCTTGATCTTGAACTCACCTGTAAACAACACACGTTTCCAGTTTCCACCCTTTCTCATTTAAC